AAAAAAAAAAGATAAGGAAAGAAAAGCAACACAGCAAGGCTTATTCGGGAGCCATATACTAGTTTTGGAGGAAGTGCTATTCCCTAGGAAAAAATCAAGACTCTCTGGTTCAGACTCCTGCCTGGGTGCAACTTCTTATGTGGGGGCCTGGCGGTGTCAAAACTTTGAAGATTAATGGATTACTTTGTTAATGACTCAAGGCGTCAGATTGAGGTGCTTAAATGATTTGTGAGGTGCAAAGCGCTTTCCTGACAGTCCCAAACAATGAGAGAAGAGTGCGCGGGTGGAGGCGAGGGAGGCAGCAGGCTGCAGGACGAGCAGCCACACACACCCGCTCGCACACACACACACACACACACACATAGAGCCCCTCGCACACACATACACCCCCTCACACACGCATACACACGCACACGCAGCCCCTACATCATTTCGCATTAGGACGCCGAGGGGATAGATACTAGAGATATCATTTCCCTCTCTAAAAAAAGTGTAAATAAAGCCTTTCTGGCCCCCAATGAGGCGTTCCTTCCCGACTTTTTTGGATCAATCAAACAGACAGTGGCTTCTTTTGATTAAAGCCCAAATTGTCATTGGGCAGAGGCAATCATGTGACAGCCAATTCGGTCCAATTTCAACCTTGTCTCCATGAATTCAATAGTTTAATAGTAGCACGGTCCCCATACGGCTGTAATCAGTGAATTAGAAAAAAAACACCCCACCAGCGATCTTCTATGATATATTTTTTTCTTCTCTCTCGCCTTTTTCCTGGGCCTGCCCCCCCCCGAGCCCCCGGCATCCGAGGGAACTTTTTCTCCGCGGGGGCTGCGAGTGGAAGGCCATGAATTTCGAATTTGAGCGAGAGATCGGTTTTATCAATAGTCAGCCATCGCTTGCTGAGTGCCTGACATCTTTTCCCCCTGTCGGTGATACATTTCAAAGTTCATCAATCAAGAACTCGACGCTTTCACACTCGACACTGATTCCTCCTCCTTTTGAGCAGACCATCCCCAGCCTGAACCCAAGCAGCCACCCGCGCCACAGCGGCGGCGGCGGCCGCCCCCGGGCGAGCCCCCGCGGCCGCAGCGGCAGCCCGGGCCCCGCGGCCGCCCCGCCGCCCCCGGAGTACCCCTGGATGAAAGAGAAAAAGGCGACCAAGCGACCCGCGCTGCCGCCCGCGCCGGCCTCCGCCGCAGCCGCCGGACCTGCCTGCCTGAGCCACAAAGGTCAGTGCAAAGACTTGGCGCTTCCCCGGCTCCTCGCAGCCCCCCGGCTTGGCCGGCGAAGGGGCTGAGGGGCGGGCGGCGAGGAAGGCGCTGCGCAGACCCCAACTTTCCCCCAACTCGCTTCACGCGGGATGATTTATTTGAGTTGGAGCTGACCTCTCTTGTCTCGCTGTCCTAGAGTTGGGATATTTGACAGTAATGAAGAGTGATAGATTGCTCCTGCTCAGCTAAGCAGCTGATGCATTAATTATAAATTGCGCTATGGCTAATATAAAGTTTGCTCCGGCGTGGGGAGGTTGGGGAGCTGGAGGCAATAATTTGGCCGAGGTGGCCGAGGGGGACGCAGCTCCGGGCGCTCAGCAGTGCAGCACAATGGGTTTGCTGCATCCAAAGGCGGCCATTTTGTTGCAGTTGCTATTTTATGCTATGTAGACTTATAGAAGTGGAGGCACATATGCAGGCAGAGATGGAGAGGGTGCTCCCTCCCCGGCCCAGGATACAACGTGCTTGGATGCTGAATTTATCTGTTATGTCTCTATGTGGTTTGGCTTCTGTTACTCTGGTGGTGGTGCTCTGGGGTGCGTGCGTGGTGGTGGTGGTTTTCTTTTTTTCTTTTTTTTTTTCTCCTTCTTTTCCCTTTTTTATTTTTTTTTTAACAGACCCCCTTGAAATCCCCGATAGTGGTAACGGAGGATCTAGGCGCCTGAGGACGGCTTACACCAACACGCAGCTTTTGGAGCTAGAGAAGGAATTTCATTTCAACAAGTACCTCTGTAGACCAAGGAGGGTTGAGATTGCAGCTTTGCTGGATCTGACCGAGAGACAAGTCAAAGTCTGGTTCCAGAACAGAAGGATGAAGCACAAGAGACAGACGCAGTGCAAGGAGAACCAAAACGGTGAGGGGAAATTTAAGAGCTTAGAGGACCCGGAGAAAACGGCAGAAGAAGAGGAGGAGGAGAAATCGCTCTTTGAGCAAGCCCTCAGCAACGTCTCCGGAGCCCTTTTGGAGAGGGAAGGTTACTCTTTCCAGCAGAATGCACTGGCTCAGCAGCAGGCTCCCAATGTGCACAATGGAGAGTCCCAAAGTTTCCCCGTTTCGCCTTTAACGAGCAATGAGAAAAATCTGAAACATTTTCAACATCAGTCACCCACTGTTCAAAACTGCCTCTCAACAATGGCCCAGAACTGTGCAGCTGGCCTAAACAATGACAGTCCTGAGGCCCTAGATGTCCCTTCTTTACAGGACTTTAGCGTTTTCTCCGCAGATTCCTGCCTACAGCTTTCAGATGCAGTTTCCCCCAGTTTGCCAGGATCTCTGGACAGTCCCGTAGATATTTCTGCTGACAGTTTTGACTTTTTTACAGACACACTCACCACTATTGACTTGCAGCATCTGAATTACTGAGAAATTAAACACGTCCTCTCAAGGGTCCTGCCTTCTCCTTATTCCTCTTTATTTTTGCCAGTGAATTAATTTTATTTCCCCTTCCCTGCCCCCACCCGGTCAGTATTTTCYGTTTATTGCCTCCTTTTGCTGTGTTCGAGAGCCATTTTTAAAAAATGAAGTTTTAGTTGTGTTCAATTTTAACCTAGCCACATTCTAGGTCCTTCTATGAAAGCAATATATGAGGTCTGTAAGAAAGTGATCATATAGGAATTGTATCTTCACTTTCTTTTTATTTTTGTATTACATTAGGATGCGTTGTCATAAGTATTTTTGGTAGAATAAATTCTTGTTTGCTACAAGGAGCTTTCTCTTTTTTMTTTCTCCCTTTCTCTTTCCCTCCTCTCCTTTCAAGACTGGTGATATCACGGGTATTTCTTCCCCCTCCCTTCTCTTATTAATTTACTAATAACCCAAACCCAACATTCTCGCTCTGATCTTCCCCCTTTTTGGTAATTTAGTACATTTATTAGAGAGGAAAAAAAAAAAAAAAGCACGTTGGAATTATTTATTGCAAAGCTGCTCACAAGAAAGAAAACAAACTAAAACCATTCACAACTTAGATGACTACGTCCTTTAATGTATAAATGCTTTGTCCATGTGGATACAAAGTATGGATATTCTGAACCGTAAGGAAAGCAAAAACGTGCATTTTTGTTGTTGTTGTTGTAGATGTTGTTGCAAACAAACATCAGCTGGAGTCAGTAGGAAAAGGGCTTCCTGCAGATACCAGCCTGTTACATACACGAAGGGCTCTTTTAGAAAACAAATCAAACTCAAAATATCCACCATTTTTTCCCCAACGTTTTTCAGGAAGCGTATCTTAAAAAATATAAAAGCTCACAGAGAATGCGTTTGGTTGGTGCTCACGTGCWGAGTGGTCCAAGAAAAGAGCCTTAAAGGAGAGGAGAAAAAAAAAGTTATTGAATTTAAAAATAGAAATGTGGCATAAAAATAAAGGATAAAACGGGGGACAAGCGCAGCCCCCCCCTCAGTTCTCGTGAGGGCCAGTTCGGGGACAGAGCGCAGGGTATTTTTTCTCTCATGCCGATTGCGTTAAAGATAACGAAAAAGGGGGACCCTTACTTTCCGAGATGAAATTTCCTCAGGGCTTGCCATCTCTTTGCTTGAGGCGAGCACAAAAAGCATTGAAAAGCATAAAGAAAAAAAAAAAGGATAAAACATAAAATCCTAATAAAACGAAATTGCGCGGGGGCTGCCGGAGCGCGGCGCGCAGGGCGAGCCGCCTCTGGGGGCCAAAGCCGAGCAACAGATGMGAGTCGGGGGCGAGCGGGCCCCGGGGGTGGCCTGTCCCCCTGCGTGTGCGTGAGTGTGAGTGAGTGTGGGCGAGTGTGAGCACGCGAGAGGCAGCGCGTGCGAGGAGCGTGCGCTGCCTCCCGGCTCTGCAGCGCGCTGTGGCGCTCGGCTGCGTGGGTTATAGCTGGAAGGGCTGAACGCAATTCTTCCGAAAGCCATAAATCAAACTCTTTCTATGAATGAGAATGTCATCAAAGAGATCAATTGCAGGAACACATGCACAAATAAAAATCCTCTTACGTATTTGCAGGGGCTGGGGATCCCCGTCTAAAACCATTAAGTGAGAAGGCGTTTAGTCATAATTCATTTTTATTGCTCTTTTAAAACAACAGCTTGGCTGAGCTGCGGACGCGGCGAAACCTCGGCCCTGCTTCTTGTCCTGCTCCCCACTCCAGCCCCGGCTCTGCGGAAAGCGAGCGGCCTCGCCGCTGTTTTAACTCCCGGAGCCCTGGCTTAAATTGGAGGGCAATGTGCGCGGAGGGCTTGGGGTCCCTTTGGTGCCTATATATCTTGACACTGGCAAAGCTTAAAAACGAGAGGGGTGGGGGGAAAAAGAAAAAAAAGTAGCACTATGAGATTTAAACTTTTTCCTTTTTTTTTTTTTTTTTTCCCCACACTCGATTTAAGCAAATCAGGCGATTCATCAACCGCCTTTCCCGGTGAGCCCTGGGGCGAGAGTGGGGGCTCCGGGGATAGGGGGTGACACATCTCCCACGAAAAACGCTTTGAGCACCGGAATTGCCCCCCTGGCTTTGGGAAAATAGGACAGGAAACGGTGTTTTCTGCCCCGCGGCCCGGAGGGAGCGGCGAGGGAGCTCGGCGGGGAGCTCAGGGGGCTCCTTTTTAGGTTGCCCCCACGCACAGTGTTGGCAGCAAAAATCCGAAGCACTGAGAGAGAGACAATGTGACAAAGGGGACGAATGTCTGCTGAACAATGGCAAGAGAAAAAAAAAAAAAARARAGAGAGATGGGAAAGGGAGAATTCCGGGGTTCATGAGGCTGTAAGAGAGGTGTTGTAATTTGGTGTGATTTACACGCAAACTAGAACTATTTATAGTAAAATACACACGGTTCTTGGCCAGCTGTTGTACAAGAAAATAATAAAAAGTCCTGAAAAGACGCCAATTCTTTTATTAGTAAACAGTCCCAACAGCCYGTTTTTTTTTTYYTTTTTTTTTTTTTTTTCCCTCTGCCTTATGCAGTATTTATCACAACTGTTTTCCAAGAATGAAATAAATCTGTTTACATCCGTAGCTACGGCCAAAAATAGTGCGGTGTAATTCCACAAATGCCTCTGGAGTGTTGTTGCTACTCCTCCCCGCCACGTCCCCACTGGAGTTTAAGGAGATGAACCTTTCCAGAGAGCTCTTACCCATTTATGCCTGCGCAGGAAGGGAAAGCCAACAGAAATACTACGGGCATATGGATAAACAGTCCTTCGGTTTTTGCTGGCCGCGGAGAGGCCTTGGAGATGGAATGGAATAAGGGCTGACCTAAGAGAGGTAGGAGAGCCTTGCACCCAGGAGAGGATGTTGTAGTGCAGCTGGGAGGAGCTTGTGTGTGTGCGTGTCTGTGTGTGTGCGCGCAAGGAGAGGTGACAGGGCAGAGAGGAGCCTTTGGGGCTTGAGAAGAGAAGCAGCGATGGAGCAGGAGAACGCAGGGATGCGCGGTCCGGCTGGAAATGCACCTGCAGAAATACAGAAGGCAACTGGCTCCCTGCGGGGTTGCTGCTGCTCSGGGGGACACTGCTTTCTATTCGTCTCCCCCCGCCCCTCTATTAACATTTGGCAGGACGCCTCTTTGAAGGGTGCTGAAACGGGCTGCCTGATGACGTCCCCGCTCCCTGCAGATGGATGAGTGTCCTGAGACTGATGGGTGCTGGATGCCCATCTATATCCCCCTTTCATTTTTTTCCGCATACATAAACCGAATATGATGTCGCAACCGAGTCCTCAGTCACTCTCTCGCTTCGCTTTCCATCTTTTTTTTTTTTTTTTTAGCAGGGAGAGGAGAGAGAAGTTTGAGTGGATGCTCAGTGCGGTTCCCAAGGGCCCCGGGGCCGCCGCTGCCACTGGCCATCTGCCACCGCCGCCGCCGCCAGCCCGGGTGGCGGCGCGGGGACAAAGGGGCCTGCGCGGCGGGCGCTGCGCCCCCGTGCCGCTCCGCAGCCCCGTCCCGGGCTGCGGGCCGCGACCTGCGCCCCCCGGGCGGCCAACCCCCCCCACTCCCGCCGCGGGCCTAGGGGCGGCAGCTGACGTGCCCTCGTCCCGTCCACCGTGGCCAGGATCACCCGTGCCCTGTCCCCGGCTCCTCCTCCCCTAGCGCGGCGGCGGGAGCGCGGCGGAGGCGCGGGGGGAGCGCGGAGCCGGGTCCCGGCCCGACCGGGCACAATGGCCGTCAGTGCCCGGAGCGCCTCATTTCCATGCTAATGCCCGCCGTGATGCGGCTGGACAGGCCCCTTTAACTCTTGGCGTCGCGCTGGGCTCTGCGGCGGGGCGGCAGCAGCGGGACTCCCCATCCCCGTGCCGTCCTCGACCCGTCCCGTCCCCACGGCCAGGGCTGCTGCTCTCCGCGCCTGCCCCAGCGTCCCCCGTGCCGCGGGTCCGGCCGCCCCCCCCATCCCACCCCGCCGGGGATTTGGGATGGGGAGGGGGGGCGGTCTCGGGGGTGCCTGACAGCAGGGGCGGCGCCGGGGCGCCCGGGGCCGCCGCGGCATC